CCCCCCTTCCCTTCTCCTATTTATTTCAAGTTTCCTTATCCTCTCATCATAACTCCGGTCATCTGAAGAAATGGGCTGTGCCCACGAAAGCTCATGATACCATCTACATGTTTTGTTAGTCTATAAAGTGCTACCAGACCACAATGAAATGAGACACTCTTCCAAACCCAACATTTTCATGGCCGGGTATAGCTCTGTGCGGGAGTTTTTGGACTAAAGACACAGGCCTACCCTTCCGCTGAGCCCTCCCTTTCCATAAGACCCTACAGCAGAGAAGGTCCTGAGCAGCCAGGGATCAGCCACCGTTCCAGAGGAAATACTTCCATGCTGATGATGCTTATTTAAAAAAAAAAAAAAAAAAAAAAGACTAAAAATCATTATTTAAAAAAAATCTATTTTAGGGTCTGCCTCATGATTGCTGATTTTGTGAGCCTGGGAACACAAAGACATGATGATAGTATATGCACACAGAGATGCATGCTGAAAATCAGCTTTGATATGCTTTTGGTGTTGATATTGCAAGGACTCTAAAATCATGGCAAAATGTTATGTTCTGCTTAGACAAAAGAGTGTTCAGCCACTTAAAGACAGCATAAACCTGGATTTTCAGCTGGCACACTACAAAGACTTATTCCTTATGTTGATGAATGAAAGTAAACACAGTACTTCCAGACTAACATGGCTACCCCTCTGATACAGTACTTCCAAGGATCTCCTCCTGGTTGTTCCTCTTTGAGATGAGAATAAGCCTCGTGCGTAGAAACCAGATGCTAGGTATTATATGATTAATCCTTTATATTAATGGTCAGAGTACTACAAACTACAGATGTGATACTGCACTGTATGGGATTCTCAATGGAATGTTGCTTATTTTTTACGTTTTTTAATTAAAAAGACAAAACTATGATAGTTAAAGCATTACAATATTTGGTTTATATTTTGCCTAAGCAAGTACATTTGTGTAGATATTTCATTGCCTATTATTTGCACAGACATTAACCCTTGAATTGCTTACCACTGGATTGTCAAGTATATAAATAAATTACATCCCAAGCATTAAAACAAATATAAAACACAACCGTTATCGTACTACTGACTACCCTGGAGTTTAAGCAGCAGGGTGGGGAGTGTCTGGCTGGCCAGCTGAATGAAGAGAACAGTGCTCTGTTGCTGGGGAGTGGGTGAAACTGCTGCAAAAAAGGGTATTGTGATCACTGATACATCCCCTGCAAATGCAGGATTTAAAAAGGGGCTGCGGGATGCCTTAAGATTCCTTTTTCACATAGACCACAGCTGAAGCAGGACCTACCCTCCTACCCTGTTAGTGGTAAAATATCAGATGTGGTCAATATCTCTTGTGGGCATTACACTAGTTGTGCCATTTTTAGGAAGGGCTGGGAAGAAATTTTTCCCTTACCACCATATTGGCTTGTATGCAGTTGGGGGAGAGGGGTTCTCCTTACCCACTCCATGGCAGGTTCTCAGAAGGGCTCTTTTCACACATGGCATGATGGACGGTTGGCCAAATGCTGCAACCCATTATTTAAGTACTGGAAGGATGTCCAGTGCAGGTATTCCATAGGAAAGATATACAGTGATCAGAAGAATGGCTTACAAAAGGACTTTAAAAGGTGTTCATTATAGGAATGAACAGGGGGTAGCTGGGGACTCCTCTGATTGGTTTAACAGGGAGCCAACTCCCTATTCTTATAGTCTACATGAACCCTCCTTGGGGGGTATGACTCGTAAGGCCCCAGCAATGGATTTGCTGGCGGGACTTGGATGGGAAAAGAGGGGGAGCTGATGATAACCCCTCTGCCCCAGGTAATTATGGAATAAACATGAGGTTACCTGCATTGCTGTTATCAACCAGATAGTCCCAGACAGGCAATAATAAAGTTATGGACTGATTAAACTCATATCAGATGTTTCTTGTCCTCCTTTCAGCATTGGCAGACATTGGAGTAGCAGCAGTGGATTATATACTTACATGGATTTCTTCTTGCACAGCAGAGTTGCGGAGGTTTAAATCTGGTTGTTCTTTCCAAAACTGGTGAAAATAACATTGTTTTCTCACCTCATCGTATTGCCAACTGGAATTCCCATACACACTCACCTAATCACATAAGAAAATGATTACTAATTACTTAATAAATTATGAGCATTTGCAATGTATAGTAATTTATACAGTAACTTTATAGTCATATAAAAAGGCATGAATCATTTGCTATCCATAACAGTTAGTTGGCCTGAATTTGACTAGTCTATTTTCATTCTCCAAAGGAGAGAAATGCAAAAAGTAAATATACATATAACTATTTAAAATCCAATTTACAGAACACACATAGATGTTATATAAGAAACATTCAAGTCAATGAGAGCTGCATGTGCTCACAGCATACTCAGATAAAATGGAGTTCAGTATTACTCCACCTATTCTATTTTTGACTTTTTATTTTTTAATTAACACATGAACAGAAAATACCATCATTTAAATATTTTCCCTTAACATTAACATTTCTTAATATTAATATAATAAATTCACATTTCCACAAAATCATAAATTTCACGCATTACTATAAAACAATTTCCATAAATACCATCTTATTTAACTGGCAAATACATAACTAGTTCTATATATGTTCCTACATATGTGAACCATCTACTCTAGTACACTTCTGCCTATGCCTATCTGTATCATCTGTAATAGATCTATTTGTGCTTTGTGCTTCATCAATCTCATATTTTTATATTAATATTTATTTGCTCAAATTCCCAAAACTGCTCACCAAACATCATAACATCTGCTTAATCTTGTTAAAAGACTGTCAATTTTCCCATTGCAAAGATTTCCCTAGCATACTTTTACAAGCAATTTAGTTGCTTCTAAGAATTTCAAAAGTAATAAAAAGGACTATTTTTACAGTCAATTTTTAATTTTCAATTCTCATAAAATAGCATAATGCTGCCATGTATGGCAGTGGTGGAGAAACATGTTGCTGCACTTCCATTCCCCTTGTCCGGAGTGCCAATCTGTGCTTCAAGTAAATTGGCACCTATTACAACCCACTACCATCATGATTTCTCACACTTGCTATCTGGCCACCCTACCCAATAAATTGCCCAATACGATTAAAAAGAAATGATCACACTTGTGACATTAAAAAGTCACAATCAGTTCTAATCATACTGTAAAATAATAGAACAATTTAAATTTATGACAAATATTTTCATAGTCCAATGTATTGATTTCAATTACACTATAGATTACAAAGTGTACAGTATTCATTTTTTATTATATTTAATAAACATATTGGCACTGTAAAAAGAATTGAAGCATACCAATGTTTAGCATATCTGCCACATAAGTATCTTGCAATGCTGGCCACATCAGTGCCAGGCAAATGCCTGTTCTCAATTTCAGTAAGTGGGCAGCATTATCTCCAGTAAATGTACACAAACTTGTTTGTCTTAGCGATTGGCTAAACAAGAGTAAGACCTGAGTGTACGTGGAGGCTCTAAGGTTTTACAGCAGTGCAGTGAATATGAAACCATTGTGTAGGGGCTGCTGCACACAGTATGTGAACTCAAATCTTTTGTTTTGAGTTCTGCTTGTAATTTCTGAACAATGTGAATTAAGATATAAGAATAAGCTAGGCAGCACTCTTTTTCTTTGATAGTATTTATTTTTAATCTGTTTTGATTTCTGTTCTCCTTTAATTTTGTTCCTAATACACTTTGGTATATGGTAGAACTGTTAATTAATCACAGGAAAGTGATTAAGGCAAAGCAAATTAACTAGATTGAATAAGTGACTAGTTGCCATTTTAATCACAGCATTAAACAATAATAGAATACCAAATTAAATGTTATGATTCATTTTTGGATGTGTTTCTACAGTTTCAAATACATTGATTCCAATTATAACATAGAATACAACTTTTAAAGTGCTAACTTTATATTTTTTTTATTTCTACTTTGCACTCAAAAAAATAAAAATAAAAGAAATTATATTTTTCAGTTCCTCATACAAGTACTGTAGCACAATCTCTTTATTGTGAAAGTGCAGCTTTTAAATATAGAATTATTTTTACCACATAACTACACTCAAAACCAAAACAATATACAGGCAGTCCCCGAGTTACGCGGATCCGACATCTGTTACGAACGGGGCCCTTCCTCTCCCTGGTCTCCAGCAGACCAGGGAGAGGAAGCAAAGCAGCGGAACACGTGGGCAGCGGACAGGGCTGTCCGCTGCCCACACGCTCCGAGGCTTGGCTCTGCTTTCCCCCCCCCATCCTCCTGGTCTGCAGACCAGGGGGACGGGGGGGCAAAGCAGAGCAAAGCAGAGCCAAGCCGCGGAGCACGTGGGCAGCGGACAGCCCTGTCCGCTGCCCGCGTGTTCCGCCGCTTTGCTTCCTCTCCCTGGTCTGCTGGAGACCAGGGAGAGGAAGGGCCCCGTTCGTAACAGATGTCGGATCCGCGTAACTCGGGGACTGCCTGTATATTGTTTTGGTTTTGAGTGTAGTTATGTGGTAAAAATAATTCTATATTTAAAAGCTGCACTTTCACAATAAAGAGATTGTGCTACAGTACTTGTATGAGGAACTGAAAAATATAATTTCTTTTATTTTTATTTTTTTGAGTGCAAAGTAGAAATAAAAAAAATATAAAGTTAGCACTTTAAAAGTTGTATTCTATGTTATAATTGGAATCAATGTATTTGAAACTGTAGAAACACATCCAAAAATGAATCATAACATTTAATTTGGTATTCTATTATTGTTTAATGCTGTGATTAAAATGGCAACTAGTCACTTATTCAATCTAGTTAATTTGCTTTGCCTTAATCACTTTCCTGTGATTAATTAACAGTTCTACCATATACCAAAGTGTATTAGGAACAAAATTAAAGGAGAACAGAAATCAAAACAGATTAAAAATAAATACTATCAAAGAAAAAGAGTGCTGCCTAGCTTATTCTTATATCTTAATTCACATTGTTCAGAAATTACAAGCAGAACTCAAAACAAAAGATTTGAGTTCACATACTGTGTGCAGCAGCCCCTACACAATGGTTTCATATTCACTGCACTGCTATGATTTTTATTCATTGTCTAATTTGAAGGTGACCCAAGCCATTCAGTTACCCAGTTGTTGGGAGGAGTGATTGTCCCACCAGTGTATGGACAATCATGCCAAATGTAGTAATCCGCATACTTCCCAGTCCGATTGCGACTCAGCTGAAACCAACGGTGTTGGTCACTTGTGTGGTTTGGTATTAAATCCATTATCACCTTTAAACCTTATAAATCAAATATGGGAAATATTAAATTAAAACATCTCAAGTCACAAAATGTACAGTGTTAACCTAGACCCCCAAAATAATGCTGACTTTACAGACATACAATTAAGTGAAGCCTCTGTCCTCAAGGGCTTAGAGTGGTGATGGGCAAACAAGACTGGTGAGTGGGTCACAATGAGTGACCCTCCTTCATCTCAAGATTGAAAGTGGAGGGCAACCTGTGGCTTATTGGGGTTCCACTTGTGGCCCACCCCCGCCTTTTTCCTCCACACCTCTTGTGCACTGAGGCAGTGGAGCCCTGGACATACTACTCCCTTTCCCTCCCAGCACTTCTGGAGTACTGTGAATCAGTCGTTCAAGCTCGAGAGGGAGAGGGAGGAGTGTGGATGAACTGCAAATCAGCAGTGTTACGGTGCTCCCAAAGTACTAGGAGGGAGGGGAAGGAGTAGGAAATGTGGGGCTCCAGTGTCCTAGTGCATGAGAGGTGGGGGGAGGGGGGGAGGAGCAGAAATAGGATGCATGGGCCACAGGTGGAACTCCAATGGCCGCACGCAGGATGTGGACTGCAGATTGCCCATGGGCCGCAGGTTGCCACCACTGGCTTAGAGTCTAAGGCTGGTCTACACTCAAAAGTTTTGACAGCAGAGCTGTCAGTAAAGAATGAGGGGGAAGGGAGAGTCACACCACTCAACAACATAGTTATACCAGTAAAAGCCCTAGTTTAGATGCTGTTATACCAGCAAAAAAATCCTCTCTCAGTGTAGGTCATTCAGTTTGAGGAAGTGGTATAATCTATCATGGCAAAAATCATAGTTATGCTGGTGAAACCTTGTTGAGTACAGACAAACAGTCAGGCCCCACTCCTACAGTCTCTTGCGAGACTGTTTAGCTTAACGCACATGAACAATCTCTTTGTAGTTAATGGGACTGCTCACTTGTAGTAAGTTAAGTGTTTGTATAAAACGTTTGTGGAATTGAGGTCTAAAC